AACAACAAGAGGGTGACGGAAGGCAGGGCCGGTAATTCGGTTGCAAGAAAAGGGAAGGGAGAGCGAATGGGCCTAAAGTCGGACCCCATAAGAGTGCATCTGGGAGTTGGACAATTCAAATTTAGATGGGTAGGAATGTATGCTTGGCGGCAAAAGGACGAGGTTTGGAAAATCGGTTGTGATGTAAACCTGCATTCATTTGGGGCGACAATTGCCAAAAACTGTCTTCTGTGAAAAGCGCTCGCTCCCTCCGCCAGATGAAGAAAAAAAGAAACACTTTAGAAATGCTGCGCTTTATTACATCTGTGCCCGCTGGGGGCGATGTACTGTACAGGGTGGGTACAGACAAAAACGTCTCCATCCTCCCAGATTGTAGGACCAGCTTGGCCAAGCAGAACTCCCAAAATTTAGTTTCTTTTTTTTTCGTGTGCTCCAGACGGTTTCTGCAACAGTTTTTGCTGTGCCCTTCCCATATCAGGACTTAGGACTCTCTCACGAGTTGCGGGATGATTTAGCAGCATCATTGCAATATTTTTGCACAGTAATCTGAGAAATAACTAATGGTGTTACTCTTTACAATTGCTTTAGAAAAATAGTAACCCTGTTAGTTACAATTATTTTCACTAGGCAGTAACGTGTTACACTTTTCATGGAAAAAGGTACTTCATACCGGTAACGCATTACTAGTAATTAGTTACTACCCAAGACTGCTTACATCCCCCTTTATAAATTGAGTCCCACAACAGGCTTCGCCGCTCAGCCCGATCTTGCGGGTGTCTGTGTAAGCTGATTCTGCGTTGGAGTGATCTGCTGGGGTGCAGTTGTTTCTTCTTAACACCTGGTTTTGTGCAGGACTTGCTGCGTATGTTTCTGGCAGTTTCCACTCTGCTTGAGTTGGACGAATGAAGGAGGTGTATCGTTCTTTTGCCCGCTTCCTGTTTGGACCCACTATTACCTCGGCATTGTTGCTTTTTGGATGGCCTCTCCTGGTGTCCAGTGACAGCTGTTTTCCTACATGCAGACTTTGTCACCAATTTTGATTTCAGGTGTCATTCTTGTATGTTGGTCCACATAGTGATTTAGCTTTTGGCTCTGGCTCGTCATTTTCTGCTTACTGTCGCTGACTACACTGGGGATTAACACCTGGCCTTGTGCGTCGGCTGAACAGTAGTTGCACTGGGGAACCCAGTTCTCTGTTGTGAAGAATGTGCTGCAGGCTTAGCAGAGCCAGTTGGATGTCGCTTATGTCTGCAATGCATTTCTTGAGTAGGTTTGTTACAACTTGCACCGCTCGTTCCGCTAGTTCATTGGATTTCGGATACCTAGGGCTGAAAGTGATGTAATTGCATCCCCAGTTGCATCTTAAGTTCTGAAACTTGCATGCATCGAAGCATGTTCCGTTGTAGGATTCCAAACCCCTTAAAGTGGCGTGAGTTGAGTATCATCTTTTCAGAGCCGAGATGACCTCGTTCGATGAAGCATTTCTCAGTTCCTGGTAGTCAATGAAGCCAGAGTAACTGTCCGCAATGATGATGTTAGTTGTCCCAATCCGGTCGAGTAGGCTGATGGCTGCCCTTTCCCATGGAAGTTTGGGAACTTCTTTAGGCATCAAAGGTTCGTTGGGTGGTTACCTTTGTTTGGACTTGCAGGTGGTGCAGGTAATGACCATCCATTTGCTATCTTCCAACATCCCGGGCCAGTATACTGATTCTATTGCTTGCGTCGGGCAGTTTCCGATGCCCAGGTGCCCACTGTAAACCTGTCCTGTACTCTTTTGCGCCACGTCTTTGGTATGACCATCGTGCCGACTCGAAAGAGTACTCCTTCATAGATGACTATTTCATCACGAGTTGTTGAGAACAGTTCCATGGTTTCTGCCATAACACCATTGCTTGGCCATTCATTCATGGTCGCTTGGAGTATGTCTTGTAGAGGGTCATCGTCTTGTAGTGATGCCTTGAGTTCTTGAAGTGTGCTTCATGACATCAGGACGATTGCTAGAATCTGTATGTCTTTTGTGCAGTCTTGGGCTTTCACGTTTGGATGACAATCACGGCTCAGCAGATCTGCAATAACCCGGTCTTTGTCCTTCTTGTACTTGATTGGTGGGGCATATGGCTGGATGTCAAAAAGTATTCTTTGAAGACGTGGCACTGCTTGTCCTTGTGGCTTCTTGCTGATGGTTTCCAGCAGACGGTGATTGGTTTCCAGTTCTAGTTGTCGTCCGTAGATGTATTGGTGGAATTTCCTGCGTATATAACCGACGGCCAGCGCTTCTTTTTCAACTTATGAATAGTTCTGCTGCGTGCTAGTCAGAGTTGCAGATGCATAAGCCACAAGCTTTCCATTCTGGAGCGAAACAGCTCCTAGTACCTTTGACAGGGTGTTTAGCGACCAGGAAAACCGGGAATTGTCGGGGAAATTTTAGTTACTGGTAAAAATCAGGGAATTGTCAGGGATATTGTCAAAAAGCGAGCACAGTCGGGGAAAAAGAGCCGGAAATGGCATAGAGTGCCCTGACCAAATACTTGAGGACTTGGGGGCAGAAAAATAGGCAATAAATTATGCTTAGAGCAGTACGCGGGCTCTTCTCACTGGATGTAGTGTGCGCTACTCTATGCAAAAGGAACAGCCGATAAATCCAAGCCTTGGATTGGATTGGACTGAGGGCACGACACAAGGCTAGATCGTTTGAGCTACTAGATTGAGTAACAACTGGGAAAGCCGCAGACCCCAATCGAAGCCTTCAGCCGAAAGTATCCAAAAGTGTGCATCTGGTGGCACTGCCGGCCATGCCACCATGCTGCCATTTAGTTATTGACGTGTGTTGTTGGGTGTCGTGTTTTCATTGTGTTTCCGGAAGTGGTTGCTGCACTGACGATGTCAGCGGCAAGAAAGTGCTCATTTAATCTGAACTGGACGAACTCGAATATTTCGGAATATGCAAGTTGGATTAAGCCCGTGCAAAATGATTCTCCCTGTGCTCCATGCCTCGTGTTCTAATGGTCTTATATATGTACCCGCCTCTACATTGGTCAGGGAATTTCACCTGAAATTGTCAGGGAAAACCTGGAAAAGTCAGGGAATTTCAAAATAATAATTGCCTAGACACCCTGCTTTGAACTGGCATCGACAGGAACTGTCGTCTTGTTGTTTGTGTCATAGTTGTCTAGCGTTGGTGCTTGCTTGAGAGCTTGCTTGATCTTTCCTAGAGCAGTGCTTTGTTCTTCAGTCCCCAGCCATGCTATGTCTTGCTTGATTAGCTTCCTGAGTGAGCTTGTCTTCTCTGCCAGGTTAGGGACAAACTTCTGAAGGTACTGTATCATACCCAACACTGGCTGAAGTTCAGTCTTGCTCTTTGACTCTCCGATTCTTTTGATTGCTTCTATTTTTTCTTTGTCAATCATTAGTCCTTCAGCTGTTAACCCTTTAACGCACAAATTATAAAACAGTGGGCTAATATTTTTTTTTCCTTTATTTTGTTTATTTTAAAGAACCAACAAATGAAAAGTGAAGGCATTGGCACTAAAAATACAAAAAGAAACAGAACATTAACAATATTGTTGATCTGCTTAAATATGGAGTAAATGTCGAAAAATTGCTTCTCAAAACCTCACTTCTGACAAAACGAATCAGTTTTTTCCGCTCTTAAGGCACTAACAAAAGAAGCGACAGAGTCACACACCTAAATCAAATATCCTAGGCATTTCCAAATGACTCCCACGGTCGGTATTCATACCTATATGTTCCGACGCCAATTCCATCTCGTTTTTCTGTCGTTCTAGTTAGCGAAATTGATCCAATGAAGGAGAAACTTACTTTTGTCGGACTTCTGCCACGGTTCGGGCTCGGCGTAGTTTGAGTCTCATACGCGGTAGGATTTCAAGGACTAACTACAACAACCTCTGAGGTTGTAACTGCAATCAATCTTGCAAGAATAGTGCATGCCAAGCTGTAGAGTCCTCAGTGATCTCCAAAAATAGTTGTCCGGGTTGGGGTGGGAAATGGGTCAATTGCGTTCGTTCCTTTGCCTTGGTGCTGTTATGAAAAAAGGAAGCTCTCCCCAAAACGTGCCCCAAAACAAAGTCATTTTGGATTCCGTCCGATCGTCAAGATGTAACTGTCGTCGACTGTGACTGCGTTACTTGAGATCTTTCTCAAATAAATTCTTTTCAGATAACGCTGCATCGTGTGGTATGTACAATATATTGTTCGAATGTTAACACTTGCTATATTGTATGTCCGTGTCCTGTCCATCGGTAAACACGTTATTTGTGAGCGTGAAAAATGCATGCCTTTGGGCTATCTTTTGTAATAAATTATTTTCAACAGTTAAGCTCTTTGTCGTTTGACATGCAGCGATATGAGCGCAGCACCGTCAAAACTTCTTGTAAAAAATACAATAAAAAACTAGAACTATACATTCCAGTCGCATTCATTCTGTCGCGTGCGTCCAACAAAAATAGTTTACAAATTTTTTTTTTTTAATGTAGTACAATGCTTTTTCAATAACCTCGAGAAAATATATGCACCATGAAACACAGAATACAGCAGGAAAAGACGAGAATTTAGCCGCCAGCAGTGTTTGAAACTGTGCCTACGCAGGCTGAACCTATCGAAATCACAGTCCACTCGGTTAGGGTTAACAGGGACGCCGATGAGAGTCTAGCCTCATACCCAGTGAATGGGCTCGAAGACGGTTTGCTGCCCCTGGGGTCGAGTGTTTCTTGGAAAGGTGTATAGCGGTGGAGAGACAATGGTCTTGTTGGCTTCTGATAGGTCGCACCATGAAAACTTGTGTACTCCCAATGACTGCCACACGCGGCCGCAGATGGGAAAAAAATGTTTTACTTTTGAGTTGGCACATTTGAATTGCAGTTGTTTGGGGGAAGGTGGTACGTTTTCTCTGACTAGTTTCACGATAAACAGTATAAAAAAAATCAAGCTGCAAACTTTTTCAACATTAAAATTGTTGCCCTGTCCTCTTTTGTGTCATTCAGATGCACCCGTCTGAGGCCCAAATGGCAGACCTCCGCCTGGCCCCTGAGACTGCTCAGTCACCCCTGCAGAATGGCTACGCCTCTTGCAATGGCTCGGGCGGATTCCTTGCCACGGACCAGCCGCAGCCCAAGTCGCCCGTTGAGCCACAGGCCGAGCCCTCTCCAGAGCCGCAGCCAGTGGCAGGGCCACGAGCACAGCCCCAGACTCGACCGGAGACGGATTCAGAGCCACAGATGAAGGAGGTGCCAAAGCCAGAGCCACAGCTGCAGTTGCAGCCACAGCCCAAGCCAGTTGTTTGCGGTACGACCGTCATCGCCAGCGGGCCTAGGAGAAGCGCTTCGGATGGAGCTATGCGGGATATTGCTGCTGTGGGCAGGTGAGTCAGCATTTTTCACTGAGAAAGACTTTGAGGGATTTAGTGATTGTCTCAACTGATGACTGTAGTGGTTCAGCCCTGAAGTGATCAGTTAGAACGTGATGTGGCTTTCGGTGTCACAATGTCTTTCATAACGGGCACGATAGGGACAGAGGGAATCTAATGTCCCAACTAACACAATTAATTTATATTGCGGAAACCTAATGCTATGGAAAGATATTAAAAATTACTTAAAGGACTCTGAATTTTAAAAAAAAATGATTCTTCACTTTTCCTTTTGATGTGTAAACTAATTTTATTAATTTATTTCAAGATACTGTCGATCCCTATTGGGATTTTTGAAGTTATTGAGACAAAAAGATTTAAAATATGAGGCAAATATCAGTAGAACGAAAAACAAAAAATACTCAGTCTTTTTTGACAAAGGAATCAGATATCGGTTCATAAACTGCCAAAGCAGTTGGTTTCCAACTGCACCAATGAAAAATTCAACACTTGCACACCTAAAAAACTGCTTATCTAGACTGTTCTAGTCTCTTATAGGTGAAGTTCAGGTGGGAAGACCTTGAGCACAGCAGCAAGATGATGTAGACATTATTACTATGAAAGGTCTTTTCATAATGTTTGCTCACCTGAACAGAAAAGACGAAAGGGTTGTTGAACCACATGTCAACAATGCTGCCATGGTCACGTAGTTAATAATAAAAAAATATCTACAAATGATCTGTTACTACTGCAGTCTTATGAATTTAGTGCTTTAGATATAAAACATGTTATGGTTATTGTTACCCCTTATAATTTTTATAGCCTATCTGTTGGTGGCTATTATTAGTGGGTTTAACAGATATTTTCCATGTTAACTTTTTAGACATATAAAAAGTTGCATTGTGAATTGAGTCAAATACCAAACACTCCAATTTATCCAATATGTGCACATTTGTAGAATCGCAGCATTTCATGGGATTTCCAGAACATTGTAACATGCCTCCCCCTTTCCGGTTAAAATTGTCTCTTCGAGACATCAAAACTTGGGGAATAGTGGCTAGTGCTGCTTTTAGCAACTTTATTAGGTCAATGAAATGACGTTGAGACCAGATGGAATGTTAGGATTTGTCCAGGAACTTCTATTCTTAGGATGACAGCTAGGTTCTTGCTGTAGCGGTTGCCGCAGATGGGACGATGGAAACCCCGGACTCCGCTTTCGCCGACGGAGATTGCAAAGAAGCACAGGGACACCCGGGTGAAGATAACACACTGATGTACACATGTGCAGTTTATTTACATACTATATTCCAGCTGGGTTACAGATCTTGGCTAGCCACGCTAGACCTCTCCCTCTCGGAAGTCCTAGTGGCCCTCCGATGCTTAGCGTAGAATCTCTCTCTCCTCCCGCGCATCGCCAGATTTCCCGGAATCCTCCTCTCCCCCTCAAAGTCCACAACGACTTGTACGGGAAGTGTCTTTCGGCACCCCGCTCGCTGGTTCCCTTCACCTCACCTCGACCATTCGGCCCCCTGTTTAAAGACTAACAAAACACAAAACAATATCAAGAAGTCTTTGTATACCTAACAGTGTCTCAGTTTCTGAGAATTAATGGGTGTAGCATGCCTCCAAGGATAAATAGAGCAAGATAAAAGAAGCAGGAGCACGAACATGGGACCTTGGGACCTCTGAGCTCGGTCTGGGCACTTCTCCGCGAGACCATATAGAACCGGTAAATAATTTTCTATCTTGCCGTTCAGTTGCTCGGTTATTCTGTTTCCGCATAGAATAAGCCGAGGAGAGGATTGAGACTTTTGAGTGGGTGTGTCGTTACCTGCAGTCTGGGGATTTTTTTAATTATGTTTAATGTACACCAGTTCATTTGCGCCCTTACATTTATTTGAGGAATTTGAGAAAGCCTGGTAAGTTTGCTGAATTTTCAGTGAGGAGGAAAACACTTTAAAAAGTAGGTTTGTTTGTCATATTGTTTGTTTAGCACACGTGTTTCAAAGACCTAGATGGTGTGTTAAGTTGACTTGGTAAGTGACAAAGAGCCATATGAAATGCAAAGAAAGGCACAACTTAGATGATAAGTGCGCCATGAATACTCTTTACATCATTCCCCTTTTCTGTAAGAGGAGAACGGGGAAAGGCGATTTCGATTTTGAAAAGTGCCCTGTCATCACTCATTGAGTCGGATTTCCAGGCAACCATATTGACGACTCCAGCAGAGTTGACGGCACCTTGTGGTTGAAACAAAGCCGTGGTGGCAGGTTCGCTTGCCAGCCTTCTTGAGCGAATCAGAAATTCACGGCACCATGTCTGGGCCAAATCAGAAATTGACAGCATTGTGTCGGCACACCGACGGGGTAATGTGAGCCTCTGCCCGATTAAAAGGGTTCAGCCGTACGCATTCATCCGTTCACCCGTCCAGGCAGAGTCCCCCAGCGTCCGTGGAGCGAGCTCGCAGCCACTCGGACTCGGACGAACGAGTGGCGATGCTGCGGGCACGCATTGGCCGACGCTTTGAGCAGCTCGAGGAAGATCGCCGGGCGGCGCTGCGGAGTTCCCGGGTGACCCAGAGCAGCTCGGCCAGTTCGACCACGACGGAGGGCCCCGACACGCCCACTCCGCTACACGACCTCTGCTCTCCCGGGGAGCCCTGGTGAGTCGTCTCGTGCTGCGAGCTCGGGAGCGGACTCCGGCCGGCTTAATGTCTCCTCGAAAGTCAAACCCAACCTGAACTTGACTCTGTTAGCCTAACCCTAGCCTGAACTACTGGCATAACTCTAGCCTAACCGAGCCCTAGTGTAACCAAAACCCTGCTAGCATAACCCGACGCTAACCCTAACCTGAGCCTAGTCTTACTACCTGGTGTCTCAAATAGCGGCCAGGTTCTTTAAATCGACCCCGAAATTCGGTTTCTTAACCTATCGCGCTGCGATTTTGTGCAGCGTTGCCCACAGGTGTACATTTTTTTAATAAAATTTGCAAAGAGTGACCTGAAAGAAAAGTAAAGAAAGAAAAAGGCTTAACTCCTCTAGAAATTCAGCGAAGCCACCGGTTCGCAATCAATAGGGTGCCCGATTTTTTGAGGACCAGTGACTTCGCTGCGTTTCCGTAGGAGTGAAGCCTTTTCCTTTTTTTACTTATTCCTGGGGTAAGTTCGCTCTTTGCAAATTTTATAGAAAAAATGCACCACCTGTAGGCAAAGCTGCGAAAAATTGCAGCACGATAGGTTTAAGAAGCCGAATTTTGCGGTCGATTTAAAGAGTCTGGCCGCTACTTGAGACAGTTGGTAGAATGAACATAACCCTACTAGCATAACGCTTAGCTAACCTGAACTTCATCCTACTAGCATAACCTTAACCTAAACTACTGGCACAACTCTAGCCTAACCTAGCCCTAACGTAATAAAAACCCTACTAGCATAACCTAATGCTAACCCTAATCTGAGCCTAGCCCTATGAGCATGAACCTAACTCTACTAGCATAACCCTTAGCTAACCTAAACTTTATCTAACTAGTATAACCGTAACCTAAACGTAACTCTGGCGTATCTGTTACAGGTTAAGAAAAGTGGGACAAGCTCCTCCAGCAAAGCACTCCTTTCTTTCCGTTTTAGCGGAGTGAACGCTCGAGAGGCGGGTGAACTCACCTCGACCCTTTGTAAACTTTGCTCGCCCCTAAGTTGATAGTGCAGCGGAAGCTACGCACTGATTGGGCAAGTCGTATATCAATCTTTCTTCACGTGACCCCACTTTCGCTCCTACCCATGGCGCAGAGAACAAGGTCGGGTGATGAAAGGGAGGCACTTAATTGGTCTGGCGAATGCTCAGCCTCCACCGCACTTTCAGTTTAGGGGTGAACGTAGTGTAGCATTTGCTCTGCTAGAGTGGAAAGAGGGGCTTGTCGTTCTTTTCTTATCCTGCAACAGAGTATAGCATAACTCTAGCCTAAGCTAACCCTAACCTAACCGTAACTCCGCAGCAGCATGTACGCTATTGCTCCGAACCCGCAGCAGAAGTGTCCTGTTGTGCTTGTGGTTCGTCTTTGACCGCATTTTTGCTACCGTAGCCGATTTCACTAGTACAATTTTGAGGTGTAGCTCTCTCGTCAAAAACGAGGCTCGCCAAGGTTAGTGGCAAATGACGACGCAAACAAGCGAGTTGATGTTTGTGCATGCGGTGCCATCTCCCGATGTATACTGCAAGCAGTTTCGTTGGCTTTTCACAGAGTTTGCAGGAAGGGAGCTATGCCTTGGACATTTGCAAGGCAAAATGTGCCATGAAACGACTTCTTCGCTTTTAAATTTTAAATCGCTACGTGCTGGTGCTGATTTTTACGGGTGATCTCGGACTAAGCGCGGGGATTGAAAACACCTAATTGAAGTATCTTAATATCGCAATGTATTGAGCTAAGTAATTTTTCGATGCAAGTATTTAGTGGTAAGTGTAATCTAGTTACATTTAAATATGATTCGTAATTGGTTTCGTTTTCGGTGCATCCTGTGGAATGGACGGGGAAGTTCTTTTGTGTGTGTCCTGAGCCCCACCTTGTCTGGGTTCCAGCGAGAGCCTCCGGTGGGGCAGCGCCTCCCGGCCTCGAAGCGTTTCGGTGGCCGAAGTCAAGGAACTGGCGTACGCCAGGCTCCAGGCGGAGCTGTCTCGTGCCCAGCAGGTGAAGTGGAGCCCCCCTTGATTCCTATAACCTTGCCTATCCAAAATAAACTGCTGGGCTAGTTGGTTACGCATATTGAGATGGACACTGCGCGGCACGATGGAATTGCTGCGCCATTTGCACTACAATGTGCCAGAATGGGCAACCTGCTACATGCTGCTCCAATAAGACTGTATTTGTGAGAAATTGCACCATGCCTTGTGCCAAAAGGATATCTCAAAAACGAAACTGAGACATTCTTTCATTTTGTAATGGGAAGGTTTTCCATTGGGGCTTGCAAACCATTTACAGTTTAAACTAGATCTAACGAGTCTAAGGGGAGGTGCAAATTACTTCGTTAAATCGGAAACTTTATTAAATCAAAAATTACATTTTATAGGCATTAAATATGATAAGCTTAGTCTTGATGTCACTGCATCAAGAGAGCTATTGTGACACTGCATTCCTAAAGTGTTTGATCGCCTAAAATGTGAATTATACGATTATGAGTTTCGTTCGTTAAGACTATACCCATACGGCTAGCGAGCGAAGGGAACCTTGAAACTTTTGAAGAAACGAATTACGTTGGTGATATTTTTCTGGCACCACAGTCCATGCCTGTTATCAGCAAATTGCGAGAGCAAGCCGGGGCTCACATTGATGGCCACATATCCCACCAAAGCGCAAAGCGAGTGTCCTTTTTGATTCAAGTGTGCATAATTTCTGTCTTTTCTTCGAGGGTGGGCACTTTTCTTTTAGGCTTCATTTCATGGCGATGCAGAAGTCAATAGGATGAGCGCATGTCATCGTTGTCTCTGTCTGATGCCTAGCATCCAGCATGCATCGCTAGTATTTGTCATGCATTGGTTGTGCATGCACACTCGGAAGATCACGAAACACGGGAATGTATAGTAGAAAGCTCCCCCTGAGGGTGCGACGACTGGAAGCCTCTCTGCAACTCTTATCTTGGTGAGATCCTAGCGGGGTGCTAGGATCTCGCTATCTTATGCTTGGTGAGATCCTAGCGGGATGCGTTGGTTTGCCATCCCGTTAGGATAGGCCTAACGGGATGGCAAACCAACGCCAATCTACCAAAACATAACCGAACCAAAACCGAGCGACCCGTGAACTCCATCAGTACCATCTGTCGCATGGGACATAAATGAAACACTTAGCGCCCTCTGGTATAATTCATTAAAAGCCCCGAGTGCTGAGTTTGTTTTTACAATAAAGCTGTTATACGCTAGAGACTGGGAAAAAATGCGTCCTCACATGTCGACAGAAAACTCCCCACTGATCATAGCAAGTATGATTAAATAAAAACAAAATGAGGGGGCAATCAGTGTGAGTCAACCTTCCTTGGCATTATTAAATAGTTTGGTACTGATCCCTTATTATCTCTAGGCATCGTCCTCAAGGTCATCCTAGAAGTCGTCCTTGAGGTCTTCCTAGGCATCGTCCTTGAGGTCGTCCTAGACATTGTCCTCAAGGTCATCCTAGAAGTCATCCTTGAGGTCGTCCTAGAAGTCACCCTTGCGGTCATCTGAGAGGTCGTCCTCTAGGCGGCGTCCTTGAGGTCGTTCTAGACGTCGTCCTCTAGGCATCATCCTAGACGTCGTAAAGATATAACAGCTTTGCTGGTCCTCCATCTTCATGAGAAGTGGAAGGGCTCTACAATTTTTGTTGTAAAAATGAAACGAGGGTCACCCAATCGTTTTGCTGGTACGCCAGCAACAAACTTCGTGTCGTTCTAAACAAGATATGTTTGAAATTACCCCTTTTTGCACTTTATATTTTCAGGGAATGCTTCGCAAATCGGGTTGACGGTCAAATTCATTTAGTTACTTTAAGTTCATCCCAAAATGTCAATAACTGACGTTTTGGAATGCAGTAACTTTGTGACCTTAGGTGTGTGATACTGCAACTCTTTTAAGGCAAAGGCCTTACTTGTACCATTGAGCGAAAAAGTACTGAAAAAGTTGATCAAAATATGATTGAGCGGCGGACACCGCTCAATGGGCAACCCTGCTTATCCCATTCCCTTGGCGTCATCCTTGTGGTCATCCTAGAAGTCGTCCTAGACCTCCAGGACAACCTCACTTGTCTCATTATGTGAAAAATAAGCGGCAGCGCTGTGCCCAAAAGATGGCCATAAAATATGTCATCAAGCGTCATCATTCATCATCAGCGTGATGTCACTGCTGGAGCACCGTGTGCAATACGTGCACTTCGAACTTCATCTGTGCTTGTTGTGTGCTTTGTGCGATGGACTGTGAGGCAATCGCGTCTATATCTACGGCCTCGACATCTACGGTGGCTTCTGCAGGCAAATGTGGCCACCCACGCAAATACGCCACAGCCTCCTTAAGTGCCATCCTCCAGGCGTCGTTCTTGACGCTGTCCTAGAAGTCATCCTGGACGTTGTCCAAGAGGTCGTCCTCGGCATCATCCTAGACGTCGTCCTAGAGTTTGTCCTAGACGCCATACTCGACATTGTCCTAAACTTTAATTTGTGTAGACACATTACTCGAAAACATTTTACGTGTGGGACGTGTACATGTAGAAAGGCTTTTGCCTCTTCCTACACGTAAGCAGTCTTGAGTGTCCCCCTGTAATTTTTTTCTTTGCAACAGGTAGGCACAATAGATTGTAGTTTTCTGAAAATATGGGCAGTTTGAGCTCTGCCCACTAGAGTGCTCATTGTGTCTCTCGTGCTTTCAGGAGCTGAAGTTGAAGGACGAAGAAGTTGCTCGGCTCAGCCAGATCAGGGACGAAGTCGGGGCAGAACTGGAGGAACTCACGGCCAGTCTTTTTGAGGTAAATCATGCATGCTTTTGCTTCTCTCATGCTTTTGCACCTCATATGCCTTCACTCCTGTATGCCCTTGCTCCTGTATGCCTTCGCTCCTTGCATGCCTTCATGTTCTTTTATTCCTCATATGCTTTTGTTCCTTGTATGCCTTTGTTCCTAAATCCTGAGAGGGCTTCACTCTACATGCCTTTGTTCCTTGTATGTCTTCACTCTGCATGCTTTTGTTCTTCATATTCCTTTGTTCCTCATACGCCTTCTCTGCTTGCTTGCCTCTGCTCCTCACTTACCTTTGCTCTTTTCACCCACATTGTCTGACAGCAGTCATATTATTGGTACATGTTCTTGTATCCCATGACGAACCCTTACAAGGTCAAGTTGTGCATATTTATACAAGGCCTGCCAGAGAAACTGGTTGGGCTATTTTGACGGAGTTGACCTGTGCATCAAGGAAGTTCTGAATTTCACCCAAGGCGGCTCTGGCAGTGAATGCAGCATGCAAAAGCTTCAGCCAAGTATGCATTAAGAATTGAGACGTAGGCAGGGAGTGCAAAAGATTTGGAATACTAGGCAAGTGTCCTTTCCTAATGTGGTTGCTTCGTGCTGGGGCAGATAGATGACAGGAGTAACCTAGAAAAACATAATTGTGAATGTAGACTTAACTTACTTTTGGCACTGTGTGAGGTGGCATTGCAGGGAAGTCTCAGTAATATGAACCCCTCCGTTCCCCCCAATAAGTAACCGTAATGTGAATTCTCTATAACGAAACAAAAATACAGTTCATCCCCAAAAATGTGGGGTACAGTCGCCGACCGATTTGTCGGACTTCTATAATTCTGACTTGTTCGATAATTCTGACCTAAAGGAGGAACCATGACTTACCCCCACAGAAATAGTGTACATTCACGACCAATGTTTCGGACAGCTTGAAGTCCGAAAGCTCGATTATTTGGACAAAATCGTTGCGAGCGATCGGCGGGAAACGCCACCGAGAAGTGGCCTCAAATGGATTCGCTTGGTTTGGCAGCGCTGCTTGAGTACTCCTGAGTCTTACCACTAGGTGATGCATGCTAGCCCTTTTTTTTCCATTTAGCTGCACGTCGTCATCATCATCATCATCATTTTGCTTTGTTTCCTTCCATCCCTTCGCGCCTCCGCCCCACTTTCGTGTCACTGGTCGCAAATTTGCGCACGTGGATTTGCATCTCTGATCTCGTTACTCGCACCAGCAGTAAAAGAGACTCTGACGACAACTACCACCCGCAGCCATTGACAACAGACATTACGAACGCATTAACATTGCTGATGAATGTGTACGACAAGAACACGACGCTCGCACAAATGCAAGCAGACATCATTGCGAGCAGGCGTAACATGAAGCAAGCCACTATTGACGGCTTTTTAAAGCCTGCTCAGGCGTAATAATGGCAAGTTTTTTCATCTATCGATTTTTCGGACTGCCTGATTATTCGGACCATTTCGGGGGTTGCCTCCGACTCCGCATAATCGGTTGGTGACTGTATTCATATTAACAGGGTCTGTAATTAATGAGGCATGCCGGTATTATGCTGGCTATCAATAGATAATGCCGTTTGAACTTTCATAAATATTCATTCTAGGTTTTGGTTCCGATCGCTTTTAGTAGAAAGGAAGAACTTGTTGTTGGGCAAGGTTGGTGAACGTTATAAATCCTGGCGTAAGGCACAAAAAAAAAAAAAAAAGGACACAAGGAAGCAGACACACACATAGGCAGCTGTGTGTGTGTCAGCTTGCATGTTTTTTTGTTTTTTTTTGTGCATTACACCATGCTTCATAACTTTTAGTAAAACTTCTCTGATACATTCCCGGGTGAGAAGTGTCCCTGGTTGTGGTCACGGCATCCAGTCCGATTTTGACTTTCGTACGACCAATTAATCAATTATTGTTTTATGCACTAATTTCTGTGCCTTTCCGGTTATGTTTAAAATATGACAGCTTGCACTAGATGCATTTTCGAGGGGGCCGCAGTAAAAATATTTAAGAACTGGGAAACGGCAATAACCGACAGCGCATTTGGCGGCTTGTAGATGGACAAGAAGCAGTTCTCACTCGGCAATTTACTTCACGTGGACTTTTACATCTGCACAGCCCTATCGTAATAATTGAAACGCGGGTCAGCATTTCTCTCTTACAACTGTACATTAAAATTAGAGGTTGATTCATAATTGTGACCAGGAATCGCCATTCTGGAAGTGTGCGCCAAAGTTCCGAGCCCATCCAGCTAACCCACATACCGTCGAATACCACGCATCCGCCCATTAAACATTAAGCGCCCATTCCCAAATTTGCAAGATCTGAGAAAGACATGGAGAGATGATCTGATTGTTGTGAGGTCGTGCCTGCCCAGCGAGAAGCACAGCACCGGCAAAGAGGTGAACAAGAGGGGAAGGGACTAAAAGAAAGATGGCGGCTGTGTGGCCCAATGCATCGCGTCAGCTGCGTATTTTTGGATGTAATGGCCGGGAAGGGAAACATAACAAGCTGGAAATTGATAACAGGTGGTGTTCACTGGCTGAGCACGTACTGACGGCAGGCTTCCACTACGCTTCTAACAACCAATCGCGCACCATGAAGATTGCCTTCTTTGGGAGATTATAAGTAAGAACTCATCCCGAGCATGCGCTGTGAGCAGTCACCTCAAATATGCCGTCCCAACTCTGCGGGATTAATGGAATGGGAAAATGTATCAATGACACTCTTCTGTATTTATATAAATGCAAATTTTAACACCCATAAAACCTGCCTTTTCCACGGTAATGTGCAAGCATGTGCAAAGAGCGGATTTTGAGTTCAAAGCGCGAATAGTGGTTTTGGCCAAATATTTTCAAATCAAACATTGAATAGTTTCTTGTAGCATTTTCCTACTGCACCACGCTTAAAGGGAAGCCCAACTGAACTCGTGAAGGTTCTGAAGCCTCCACTTGTCCATTTCTAAGCTAGGTTAATCTTTAACTATATTTATGCACTGTGACCTCGGAAAGTCCAATGCCTACATTGGGATGGCAAGTAAACGACACACCTGACATAAAATAAACCTATAGAGAGGCCCAGCTACGTGGACTGTTCAAAACGTATCCAGCATGAATTATTTCGGCAGAACCAAACAAACCACGTGAGGTTTGCTCTGGCAGGGAATTCACACGTGTGAATGTGTTCTTTTCTGCTGAGAGCGTTAGTTACTGGTGGTGAGCCTGTGAGTGAGGGAGTGTATTAAACATTTGTCGAATTTCATCTTCCGAGAAATGATGGAAAGACTCGAACAAATATATTGCATCAAATTTTGCATCAAGCTTGGAGATACAGTAGACTCTGATTATTTGAAACTCCAGGAAGCCGCTAATTTTGTTGGAATTATTGGAAGTTTAAATTTTCAGAAATTCACCTAGATATGATGAAAGATAAGATTATGATTTGCTATATGAATGGCTACACATACAAAACAGTTGACGATTTCCTATACATAGATCATAAGCACGTATGCCATGCATGAAACATTAGTGAAATGTATGACATAAGTTTATTTATTTCTCAAAAATGTTGTTTATCGTAGGCTCTTTGGACAGCACGTAACAACTCAAAAGAAATTTAAGTTTGTTCATGAGTCCAGAAAGTTGTCTAATCTGGACTATTGGACAGGGGACACATGAGCAATGAAAACAGGCACCGGGGGGCAGTTTTCATAGCAACTTGCGCGGACGCTGTGACGGGGACCTATGCCATGTCACCACGTCACAGCGTCCGCAAAAGTGGCGCCTGTTTTCATAGCTCGTATGTGGCCTGCTTGAGCCCCATTGAGTGCACTTCTTACTGAGCGCCGGAGCTGTGCAGAGAAGCAAACTCCACGTGTGTTGCCTTTCTGCAATGGACCGATGTTCAGAAAGAAGCACACTCAACAGGTCCGCGAGAACATATCGCGTGAATTACACGAAAATGCCGTCAGAATTAAGCGGCTCATTAAAAACATAGCGGGACAACCAAAATTTTTAAATTCGTTTGAATTAACTAGAAGTATGAAATGTCAGAAGTTGAATTATCGCGAGCCTTCTGCACTCAAATAGAAACCATTTGGAAGATTCTGTGGGCTTTCGGTGACGATTTTATGAGAATTATGCAAATTAAGGAGTGATACAACCAGTTCGAAAATTGCTGGACGATGGTGGAGAGCAACTCCTGTTCCGGGAGGCCTTCAACTAGCCGGAATGACAATGTCATTGACGAACTGCAAACTTTATTCATGCAATACTATCGTAGCACTATCCGAGAAGTTGCAGATGAGGTAGGAATAAGTACTGGCTCGGTGTATTCCATTTTGAGCGAGCTTTTGGCCTTGTGAAGAGTGTCTGCGAAATTCGTGCCGAAGTTGCTAACGATTGAGCAAAAAGAACTCGGTCTACAAGAAAGATGGGTTGGCCACTGTATAGGGTGCCCTTTCTATTTTCATTCAGTGTAGCCATACTTTCTGCTATGCATTTTTGTTGCGCATTTCCAGTGTTCAGAAATTGTTCTATATGAGGGATAATTCGGAATATCCAGGTTTAATGTAGTCGGGCTTGACTGTAATTTCATTACTGGTGATGAGTCGTGGGTTTACGGGTACCACCCGAAAACCAAAGCGCAGTCGTCTCAGTGGCCAAAGAAATCACGGCTGGTGCGCAGCAGCATCAAAGTTTAATGTTGACCGTTTTCTCCTTTGTGGTGGTGCACAACGAGTCCAAAACGTGACAAGCGAGAACTACCTAGAGGTCCTCTACCTTTCTGATACTGTGTAACACTTAGTTACTTGGCAGCTGCATCACGACAGTGTACCAGATCATTCCTCGCATCTGGTTTATTTAGTTTCTTGCAAAACACAGCACTGGTCGCCTTTGTCTCCCCACTCTCCTGACATGGGTCCTCATGATATGGGGATTAGGGTTTTGGATCTCTAGGGAAATAAATTTAAATTTTCCGTCCAAAGGTTGGATACTTCTTGCACAGCCCTTACAGGACCTAATCGAGGGAATTCATTCATCTTTTTGCTGTTGCCGCGGGTGTGGCCGAAAGGTTACTGCGCTTGGCTATCACGCGGAGGCTTCGGGTTCGATGCCTGGGGTCGGACGCCCCTTTTTGTTGTTTCTGAAGTGTAGAGTTCTGGTGAATTTGAGAACATTGTTGTTTGTGCTAGGTCGGAATGTTCTACGCGTCGAGCCTTCTACACCGGTTATTTCAAAAGCCCACGTGTGTACATAAGGGGCTTCGCATGGCGAGCCAAGGTCAGTCTCGCCCCAGCGTTCGATTCTGCTGTTATGCCGACTTCGACGCCCGCGACGCTCTGTTGTTATCTTTTGTTTCCTTTTTATTTTGGGCACAAGTTCACGCCACTAAACGTTTCAGTTTCCTCAGTTCTTCTTTGTTTTGTCACCTTGTCATTTGTGACACTATATGCAAGTTCCATGAAATGCCGTAAGCATGCCCAGCCAAAATGAAAAGATAACTGGTGAAAAACATGGTCTGCTAAATTTGGGGATGAGACAGGGAAACTTTAAAATATTCATGATAGACACAAGGGGCACCCGCTACAAACCACGTGACACGGAAACTAATACCACAGATCGCATCACACTAATAGCAAATTCGCATTTCACAATGTGATAATCACGCCAGAATTTGCTACTAACCCCCATGTCGTGGAAAAGGATACCGCAAACTGGATGTGGCAGATTCATGTTTCACGGTGCAGTGAACAGGGGGAACTGGCTAAACTTGCGTGCCATGGAAACTGGTACCGTTTACAGAGATTGCATAAAAAAGGCGCAGGAACTCACTACGAGCTCACATGTCATGAAAGCAGATATTGTGAGCGCAGATTGCTGACAAAAACCCTGGAACCCGCTTGTCATACATGCCGGTACCGCAGACCGCGCTTGATGCGATTTCTGTTGGACATTGTGCACTGTCTGCCGGTAATGGCCAATTCACCCGGCGGACTGATCCGTGGATGGATTGATCGCATGACGTGTCCACGGGTTGTCTGTCTTCAAAGTGCATGCACATGGGGGAGATGACGAGCAGACGCCAGCGAGGACGTACTGAACCTGTTCGCAACTCCACAGTCCCGCAAAACTCCAACATCGCACCGTGGCACTGTTGTCTAAGAGAGAAAGCGACGTTTGCTACCGCGATAAAGAATCGGGTGTCGCTGTTACGTGCAGATTGAGACAAAACACCATGATGGGCTTCGCGCAAAGTGCCAAGCTTTACTAGCCCAAGGCATGACAGTGACCAAGGCACGGTCCTGCTCGAAAAGGCTTCGGCATAGAAGCAACGAAGTTCTGGGCTTGCAGAGTTGCGTTTGCAGATGTCTTCATGCATTCCGGTCTCGTGCACTACACTTATGTACACCATAGCCTCAAGAAAGGTCTTACTCAGCGAAAAGCTGATTAGATGTGCAAGAATTATCACCACGAGCTAGACGAGTTTTGACGGGAAGCTTCTTGTCACAAACTCGGAGGAGTACCGGAACCTGTGTCGCATCAGCCGGACAATGTTTCTGCAGTTTCTTTCATGCGTGGAACCAAGAATCACGCCACAAACTGAACCAGCAAACGCACAAAACAACGATGTGCCATTTTTGTTTTAATCATCCAAAAACAAAAAGAATGAACAGGAAAGCATTGTACCGTTGCCAGACTAAACAGTTTTCAAGTCGATCTCTTGCCAAAAATTAGCTCTATGGCTAAGGAGACCGTGTTGCAGGGAAGCAAAGTAGTCCGTGCGGAAAGTTTGGAGGCTTTGGAGCTCTTTCCGATCGCTCCTCTGCCTTGTCATTACCATCAAACAATCCTTGTCAGGGTCAATCACCATTGACCCTGACAAGTTTGTTGGCCCTTTTTTTTTTTACAGAAAGGGGAGCATACAAGCAGCAGTTTGCATGGCACCTGGGCTTTCTTTGGCTGTTTGGCGACATTGCAAGCCATAATGGTTTTCCGTCGTGAAAGCTTCGTTAGAGCAAAGCGGTGTTCGAAAAGTTGTTTATTGTGGAGAGTCGTTTTATACACTATCCTCTACAAACAGGATATTGAAAATACTTTGTTGTCGCAAAACTTTCATTGAGGCGGCGTTTGCTCCTTTCAGATCTAGCTGCATGTTGTGAAGCTGCTTTGCACAGTGGTCCTGATATTTCTGCCTGCTGAGTTCCTGGCTTGTTTTCCAAAGTGTCCTTTTTTGTTTGCAGGAGGCCAACAACATGGTTCGTGAGGCCAACATCAAGCAGGCTACAGCAGAGAGGAGGTTGCAGGAGTGCAGCCTCAAGGTGAGTTCCTCTCGTCCAGGGGCCTGGCACGGGGCCCTCTAAACCCACAGTGTATGGCAGCTTTAGCTGCTAGGGTGATGCCGCACTTTTCCTGATATGATGATTGCAACCAAAGACTGTGGTTTGAAAACAGGAACACTCGGGAAGGAGGATAATAATAAAAGGACAGACAATGTTTGTGCCTTTGAGATATTCTCCGTTCCTTTTTCTTCCTCCTTCACGAGTGTACCGTTTTTCAAACCACAGTTTCAGGTTTTAAACTTACACCAGCTCACCTGCACATTAACCATTTTTACACTTTTTCTCATGTTTTCTTGCCACCATTTGTCATGAATGATCACATACGTTTGAATGGGAGCTTCGTAGATTTTTTAAGTTACTTATATGTGGTTTGCCACACCCACTGCTGCCGCAAAACACTTTTTTTTTTTCCTGAAAAAAAAAGGTAAAGAAAATGGGAGCTAGACTTTTCTGGTGTTGTTGGTGCAGCCTACCGTGGAGCAGAGACCTTGAGGCTACAGAAAACGGATCTTGATCTCTGGCTGCACGGAGAGCCGGGTAGTGGCTTTCTGGATCTCTCATCCCCCCTCGCGCCGATGACATAAAGGGGGTGGGGAAAAGTAGGGACATTTCAGCCTAGAAAGTCGCCTGCTGGAACTTACCGTATTTACTCGCATTATGAACACACTTTTTTCCCGAGAAAAGTTGACACATATTTGGGGGTGCGTTCATTACGAGAGGTAAAATTTTTGCATTTACACACCTCGTGCAAACGTTGTGTTAGGTGCCAATATGACACGGGTAGGTACTGTAGCACATCTCCACTGATGGAGGTTCACCCACGGGTGGTCGGGGGCACCACAGTAACCATGCTTTATAAATTGCAAACCTTTAGGGTGCTTTCGGGGTGCCTTTTGCCGAAGGAAAAGCGCCCTACGACGCTCACTGAACACGGAGAGCAGCACGACCGTTTTTAGGCCTAACCACTTTCACGATTTCACTGTCCAAAAGTGGACCACAGATGACGGCGTGTTTGTTGACATCAATGCATCCGATGAACGAAGCACATCCGGGGCTGGGCAATTCCTCGACCCAAGCTTCGTCAAGTGTGCGCGCCACTCGGTTTCACGGTTGATCACTTCCGCAACTATGCACTTGCAGCCATTACGAGAGCAGCTTGGCTTGGCTTGACTTGGCCTGACCGCTTGGTGGTAAAAGAAAATTGGCTTGGTGGCTAGCTAAATTGGATGCAGTTCGAGACTCGCGGAGCTGAAAATTTAAGATGCGTTCATTACGCGAGAAAAGAAAAGTCCAAATATTGGTACCTGTTGTGGGGGGGGGTACGTTTATTATGCGAGTAAATACAGTACGCGACCGGCATAATTTGAAAATGGCAAGCAGTTTCGAAAGGGATATTGATTCGGTCCGCCAACTACCAGCCAATTTTAAAACTATAAAAATATTGGCACAGTTCCTCAGGGTTGTCTATTTATGGTTCGTCTACGGCCTCTAAATATTCTAGAAATCACGAGGTTAGATCGATGTGCGTCCGATTTGTTTATTAAAAATTTGATCAAACATTACACGCCTATTTTTCTGCGATTCGGCACAGAAACCAGAGAGCGCCATCGGACGCGCTATTGCCAATTAGTAGCGATCGCTTCCCGCTTGGCAAGGGACTGACCAACGATCAGACGTGTATCAATTTAGGGATAAAAGGAAAGCGGCATAATGGACAAAGACATTATAAAAGGTCTTTGTCCTTTACATCACTTTCGTTTTATCCTGGTAACTTACCAGCATGCTCCAATTCGTCGAGTATCAATCTAATCTTGAGTTTTCTTAGAATGCTTACAGCCTATGGATCGAGCTATGCTCATAAATAGGCAATCTGAAAAACCACTTCAGGGACACTGATGGGGTATTCTTGCTCGCCGAGGTTTTTATTTGAACGTGATCTATAATATCCCAACTACCCAGAACACAATTTCCGGCTTGAAATTTGTTTTCGTTCCGCCTGAAAACAGCCGGTCGAGAATTGGCCGGCTTCATTTGCATCCGCTCTTTTTTCTATGGTCACGTTGCATTCAATCTATGTATACCAAATATATTCAGAGTCGTAGATCATCTAAGACACATATGCAATATTAAAAATAGAAAAGAGTATGAACCCCATATTTGTGGCCCCCAAAAAGCTGTAAATGCGTTGATGGAAAGGAGAAAATGTTGCACAGGTCGCAGGAAGTACATGTACACGTCACTCTCAATATGGCGACATACCACGGGCTGGATGATGAGATGGCGGCAAACGACGGACCAACATTGCGACGGATGCGGGGCCGCTACTTCAGAACTGCCGTCCGTGGTACAGTGTAGACCGCATATAACGTATGTCGCCGGAGTCGCGAAAATCTGCACTATAAGCGGTACCGCGTTATAACCAAAACATCAATTTTCAGGCCACAATACATGCCATGAGACAACTTACCTTTGTAAAACAATTTATTTTATGTTAGACGAAGAGGAGTCTTTTTTTCACCAGACTAGTACACTTCTGTTTTAAGTGTGTAAATTTTGAAAGAAATGAGCGACTTTTGCCTGGCGCAGCCTTTTAACAACGTTGCTGGTTGCGAACGGACGTTGCGAGCGTTAAGGATTGCTAACCCTAATCACTTTTCTCCGGTGATAAAGACGCGTGAAAATTCACATCCTTTATACGGTACACGCCAGTAATACCTTCAGCTTTAGCACAGGCGTGAAATGCTCCAAATAAGAAATCCGGGCGATTTTCGAAAACACAAATGCTTAGAAAGCACCACTGTAGTCGAAGTAAACGAACACGACGACACGGGCGTTTCTGCCGTCTTGAGAGTGCCGCCACGACATCGCCGCACGGGTAGGTGGATCTTCCCTTCTAGTATGTGCTGGGTTATCATAGCGGCACACAACGAAAATTCACTGTCAAGGATAGCGCTTTTACGTGGAACGATCGCAACCGACGCCATGTTTGCGGATAGAAGCCGGCCCGCGGCCCGCATGCAACGCGCGCGAACACTTCATGTGTTCGCGCGCGTTGAACAATTCATGTGTTCGCGCGCGTTGGCGTTGTTTCCAACGCCAACGCAGCAGAGGGACGCACGCACGTGAACGACACGTGCGTGCGTCCCTCCATCGGTATGGCAACTGAAGCCTCTCTTCACTTCTCTCCGCTTCTTGGAGCCACGACTTCGAGCAACATCCTTGCCCCACGAGTGCCGCTTGCATCTAGCCAGGCTAGAACCATTATCTAGTGTCGCACAGGGAAGCGTGCTAACTGCGCCGGTCAAACGGCGCGCTCGGCGCGGTGTTCGAGAAACCGCACTATACGCTCCGTGCGGGAACTATAGGGGGCGCTTTGAAAAACGCGCGTAGCGCCGCTAGCGGAGGAGCTGGCGTTCGACAGTGAGGCGCGCTCAGCAGCTTGCGGCGCCTTTTCGCGTGCGAAGCTGTGGCGGCGGAAGCGCGCACGGACGGAACTTTTGCTTTTTGAGCCGATAAGTTGAGGGTGACGTTGCATGCGTGCTGGGAGAGATTTGAGACAGGCATTTAGGCTGTTCTCCCCTCCTTATATATTGAGTTTGAGTTGTTATTAGGGGTAATTTCTTTAGTTGTGGTCGAAAAAGGGGTTTGAGAAATTTTCCGACGAGCAAGACGGCCGCCACCATAATTGCTCTCAGTGGGAAATTTGTTTCGCTCGTCGCTGTAAACGTAGGACTGCTGGGGCGATGATATTTGGAGGTGAGTGAGATGTTCACTAAGTGGGTCAAGTTTTATTAAGACAGCAGGTGTGAAAGATTATCGTTCTAACGAATAAAGGAATAAAGCTGTCAGGAATATCCAATACTGGATCCAAAATCTTGTGTTATAACCGGGCTGTGCGAAGTGCAGATTTGGACACACAGTTTCTTGGACATGACCGTAACTTGACACAACAGTTATAATACCAAAAATAGGTGGCATAGGGAAACCAAGTGGAAATTAAGTTTGGGCGGCGTAACTGAATGAGAAACGTTTTTTACCGTGAAAGGGCTGTCAAGAGAATACCACTGGTCGTTGGAGATGGAGACTTTACAGGTAGGAAGAGACTACTGCACTGTACTTCCAATTGAAGCAACTTTACGAAAGGTGGCTTCAAAGCTGAGAAAACCAAGTTTGCCGGCCAATTAACACACTGTTTGGCCGTCAAAGGCTTTTGCGGTCAGCTGTTGTGTAGTAATATGGTTGTGCGAGGGGCTGATTTTCGGCACACAGGTCTTGGACAACCGTAACTTGACAAAACACTTATTGTACCTAAAAAAGATGGGATAGTTTAACCAGGTGGAAATATTTTTGAACGGCGTAACTAAATGGGAACCGGTTTTGACCGTCAAAGGCTGTCAAGAGAATACCACTCATCATGGCCGGGAGGTGCACACTTTACAGGTAGGAAGGTACCAGAGGACGGTACTTCCAGTTCGAACAACTTTGCGATAGGTAGCTCTAAAGCAGAGAAAAAAAAAATCGTCAACAAGACATGGGATGTCAGTGTTTCCACATCCAAAAGGAGGCCGATCAAAAAAGAAAGCACGCAACATAAACTTCCATACTCAAACATCAATTGTCCATTCATTCCAAATTTCATTGTAGTTTTCCTTAGATTCATATTGGTCGGTTTTTGTACCGTCCGAATCTTTCTTCATGAAGTACAGACTGCGTGCCATACTGGTCCGGAAATATCATCGACACGTACGAGGAGGACCAAACTTCCTTAGAGGGCATTCTTTCAACGAAATTCGCACTGCATACCCGTGAATGTGGGATGGCATTACTGGTACGAAAACAAACGCAGAGCGCAAAGCGGCAGCGTAGAATATGTCAGCCGTGCCGACACAGTGGCAGACATGATCCGGAGACCAAATTTCTCGCGTCTTACGCGACCGGTCCATCGTTGTCGCTGTCCCACAAAAGATTGGCGAGGTGAAAAACTGTGAAACTTCGTCCTTACAAGATACGACGCATAAATATTGGAGCACTTAACGACGCAGCAATTCATGCTGTCAACCCAACGCAACCGCACCGGTCCGACTTCAATGCGCACCAGTGTACGCGGCGTGGTTTCGTTTCGCTGGGACTCTCACTGCCTACCTTCGGTAACAGCGGCGCGGCGGCGCGCCGGTCACGTCGCACGGAGTGTATAACCGGTATTTCCCTTCGCGCGCCTGCATTTTAAGTGGTATGTAATTACATGGAGTTCTATGGGAGGCGAACCGGTGGTTTAAAAAAGACGCGTTATACCCGGTCCTGCACTATAAGCGGTTACGTTGTAAGTGGTCTATACTGTACGGACAATCAATCTTCAAGCGCAGGACATCGAGCAGAAGGGGTATAAGTGCCAACAATCACACGACAAACAGTGCATGCAACTTTGTCGTTTTCGTTGTCTGCTTGACAAGCCAGAGAAGCGGAGAAAAAAAAAAGAAAATGCGGTTGGGTGTAGCGATGTGAGGGCCATGGCTTCCGTGCTCGTGTTTTGGTTTTAAGCAGTTGAGTTTTTTTGGCTTTATTAAAAATAAACGTAATTCTGTGAAGCAGTGAAGCTTGACACGTACACACCAGAGCAAGTAGGGGAATCTTGGGACGCCAGTGCCAGTGCGATGCGGTAAAGCTTGACGCGAGAAATCTGGAAATTTTGAAGACATCGTTCTTAACCTTTGAATATTTGGAAATCTTTAATACTTCAATCACTACACGTGTGTGGTGAATAGCAAAAATTTATAATTTTGAATATTTGATAATGTTTTGCTTAGACATGTTTTGCGAATCAAGTAACCAATCTTAATATACAAAAAAAAAATTAATGCTTTGGATGCTAATGTGTGCTTCGGATAGAATTTAATAGCAATTTATTTGAATACCAAAAATATAATGCTTAAGGTGCCAAGTGTGTGTTGTGAATCAAATCAAATATTAAATTATTTCAGAAACTCAATTAGGCTATTTTCTGAACCATAGTCCACAGACTACACACGTTTAAAGGATGAAATTTATATGGTCTGAACTATCTACAGGTGCACACTGTCGCGGATTTCTTTTTGTAGATTGACGAGACGCGACTGATTTTGTGAATGACGGAGCATGTTATTGATTTATGTGTGATACAGGCTTTTTTGTGAGCAAATAAAGCAGGTATTTGTCAAGGTGTGCTGCATACGAGATATTTTATGTGCGGACTATCTAAGGAAAAACTTTCCCATTCAATCGAAATTTGGCCCTGCATACAATGGTGAACTGTAGTTTGAAAAACATGGCGGCATCAACTACGAAGGTGCGCCGCAAGTCGAATAGCAAACGCCATTTGAATTTTGGGATATTGGCACGCCCCCATTTCAGACGGAGGTGCTGCAGGCGGAGGTGCAGGCCCTGAAGGCGCTGGTGCTCACGTCGACGCCCTCTCGCCCCAACGCGCACCTGCACCCTCAGCTGGGGGCTCGGAAGCACCGGAGGTCTCCCTCCAACTACGAGCTGGCCACCCGGCCCCCGTCCCCCCCGGGAGGCCCCGCTTCCCCGCCCCCCGCCCCCCTGCACAACGGGAGCCAGGACGACTGCCTCGAGCTGGCACCAGATGCCTGCGAGGTAAGGCCACCGAGTCACTCTGTGCACGTCCAGACTCGTTCGCGCGCAGACAGTGGGCTCGTTGGACTTGCACCCTGGACTCCGAGATTTTTTGCGCTCTGGCTGCGCTCCTTGAGCCGTTGCATTCGCCGGTAGAGGCACTTCGTGGCACTCGCAACCAAACCAAGCGATACGAAGAAAGATTCGCAAATTATCGTTGCCACCATCATCGTCAGTCTGTGGAGCTTGGGAGCCGCACGAAATGTGCTCCTTACCGTTCACCGCAACGCACAGGCCTTTGGCAAGAAAGAAGTTGATCAAAATGTGACGGTTCATATTTTTAAAGAGCGAACGGTATAGACCAAATGACTGTGCACGTAAGTGAAGTTCAAAAAGCTGTTCTCGTCCATGATTGCAAATATATTTCTACGCCTGTCCCGTCGGCCGAGACAGTGTCTGTAGAGGACAAATATAGATTCGCACCAAATCCTGCATTCTGAGGTATCATCCAGCGAAACAGCGCAAAGACCGGAGCAGCAAATAAAAATTGGTAAATCAGCAGAGATAGGCTTACCTGTCTTTGTTGTGATGACGAAAACAATGAAAATGCAAGCTTTATAGTAAAAGTAAAAGTGACTTGTTCAAAATTATAAAAATAAATATGCGAGTCTGAAGTGTTTACCCAATAGAGGGCACCACTGTGTTCTCTCGTGTAAGCACTTGCGAGGGAACGCACTCGAGCGCAAATGGTGAGCCAGCTCATTTTGATGCATAGTCTCGATGTTGCCTGTTGTCACCAGCTTTAGCTAGCATGCCTGGGGAAGATGCAAAAAGTGCTTTTCCGTCGTCCCGCTTGCGGAAACAGTTCGCAAGCTCAGCATCAACTACTCTGTGCTACGTCGTCGAGACTAGCGCGTCTTTGACGTTGCTGGAGTCCCGCTCTGCCGCGAGAGCTTGCGGCTTGGTCTTGCATCTCATTCTCAAGTCTTAAAAGTGACGGCTCTCAATATTTAAAGTCAGAAACTTACTGTTTGGTGCGATTAAATTATCCGAAAGGGCTCGCTGACAACAATGCCCGCATAAACATTTTTAAGCAACCATTTTTTGTATGGGCGATAGATCCATGGATTCAGCTTCCGGGTTCCAACTAATTCTGCACTCCATTTCTGAGTTCGGGAATGTTTTATGCTTTTTCTTTGGAAAGTAAAAGTGGCACTACATGTTTTTTCTCTATGTCCCTGTTGGAGGAGATGGATTCCTTATAACATTTTAACACTAAAAATGCTACGCATTGAAAGCGGGTACTGAGCGTGTGTTCTTCGGCAATCAAAAGTACAGTAATGTGAAGCATACTTGCTGCAATGCACCTGAAGCCCAGATGATGAAATTAGGCTTTTCTCATTAACAAATATTAAGTAAAAAAAAACAATCGTGAGCCATTCCACTTGTGAAGCTGGAGGTCCAGCGAAACTCTTTAGGCCCGCTTCAGGCGGAGCAATCTCGCCCAGCAACTTGACGTCGCAACACCAGCAAAACAGGCCACCTGCGTTCATACACAGCAACCAAATTGCTATGACTTGCCATCATCATCATGAAATTTGGGTTTTTAGGGACGAAGCTCCTTAGGGCCTAGCCTTGTCCGTCCGTCCGGCATCCGTGCTCACATAAAAAGAAAAAAATGTTTGCGCAGTCGACAGGATTCGAACCTGTGCGGGGAGACCCCCTATGGATTTCTAGTCCATCGCCTTAACCACTCGGCCACGACTGCGGGACGAGTAGGGGGCTCTGAGATGTGGTAGTAACTCAAGAGCTGGGGACGTCATGGATGAAACGTTGCATTTAGCTCCTCAACGTCTATACAGGAGAGGGCGCTGTGGTCAAATGCGTATATAATCACGTTAAACTTTGCATGCATTGGCTCAACGTTTATAGACGAGAGGGCGGTGCGGTAAAATGCTCAAATGCGTCTATAACCACGTTCCATACCACACATTCTGTTTCTCACATGAACTGTTTTTTAAGGGAAAACACTGCTTCTTGAGCTTTTTTTTTATTTATGGTCCAATCCAATTGACATTTATAGAGCATAATCATCTTCCCACTCTGATGACAAATATGTACTTTTTTTTAAAATAGCTTGATTAGTTTTGATAAATTTAACTATTTTATTTGAACATTTTATGGGCGAGATTCAAAAAAATTATGAAGACAACACTCAAAAAGGAATATATCTCTGTAAACTAGAAGGTCTACAGAATCCAATAAGGTATAAATGAAGGCTTCATGATTATTTATAACATTTTTACGGCATTTCGAAATTTTCAGTTTATAAATTAATTTTTACAATCTATATTGGAGGTGCTAACAAAAAATACTGATGCCTAGGTTGATGCAATTAGACCCCTTATTGGATACCCCACTTATACACCTACTAAGGAAAGGAAGAATTAGGAAGATCGGTTGTGTACAGGCCAAGATACGGCTTCCGCAAAATAGCAAACTGCGCAAAAAGTTCATTTCGAGAAAACAGCAAAAAAGGTTCACGGACAGATTTTTACTGCTACCCGCGGCGAACTCCACTCGGATGCGACATCCCCGCAGATCTTGCAACACAGCTTGAGTTTTACTGCAAATCCATACTCGCGATCGCATTTTATGAGTTCGACATCGCCGCAACAAGCTTTATACTTCGCGAGATGAAGAAGCGAGTTCACGATGTCGACGCTTACGACGATGAGACTCTCTGTGCTCTCGGGAGCTTCTTGATCGGCGCCCGAGACGCCGGCCATCAGGGCAGCTTTCCGCGTCGTAGCTATGGCGCACCGTGAATTCACGAGGGCGCCCATCAAACCATTCGGCCAATCTTGGCCGCGACACGATCACATGGTCGTGTTGCCGCGGGGTCGATCGGGATCTCGAATTCGGCTCCCGACGCGCCGCTTTCTCTCCTAGCCACTGGAGGGCGCTGCAGGCGCCCCCGTGGCAGGCGAGGAGAGACCTCCTCGCCCATCGACATATATACTCGGTGGGGCAGGGGGCGAGAGGCCTCTAAGAACTCCGGACGCGACCGAGACGCAGGCACTGGCAGGCAAGTGGGTGGCGACCGGATCTAGGATATCGCGGGACGCGAGGCCTAAGGGCCTCCTTTGTGTTTAGATTTAGCCTGAACGTGCATTTGTAAATAATTGTGTAATTTAGCTTGTATTTGTAGTTTAGATTGAGTGTTTTGTAGTGTTGTGTTTTATTGTACGAATAAACGGGGAGCGGAATCCCGCTCCCGTGAAAGAACCAGGCTGGACTCGGTTTGTTGACGGACCACGTGGGAAATGGCGAATCGGCGGCGGTACGCGATTTCCTACATAGCGGACGTCGACGAAAGTTCTTTGAGTTTTTCCTCGGCTTTTTTTTTCTTTCTCGTCGATCTCGGAAGCGCTGAGCATCACCGTGTCAAGCAGCACTCGCTCGCTTGAAGTCACGGATGTCGACGGCGCCGTCGATGCGACATCTTCGTGTTCGGGCTCCCGCACCTCGTCGTCGACGTTCAGGCTCACGGGAAGTTGAACTGCGCCGTAGATTAGCTTCCTCGGGCCCTTTTTTCATTTTTTCCGAACTTGTGGGCCGTGTGAAACTTTTTCCGTGGAGTTGTTGTGATCTTCATGGTCAGAGACGCGCACGAAAATCAAACAAGATGGTGGATCAGAAACAATGCGCAGACGCTGCGTAACCCTAACGCCCAATGAGAAAGCGCCATTTGCACACGTGATCCGAAACAGCCAACTGCGTGGCAAGATTTAGTTTTTCATTTGTGCTTCGTTCTCGGCGGCCAATCGCCGTCTAGCGTCGTGAATGGCGGGAGAAGAAAGAGCGGGAGCGGAGCTTTCAAATGAGACTAAGATGCCCCCCTTCTATCGCGTTGTTCTCGAGCTACCGGCGGTCAAATTGTACCTTTTTTTGCCTTTTTCGGAGGAGGCATCTCCGTTTAGATACTTAAAATCAATACCCCAAAATAAATAGCACGTATTTTGTGATAATATTTTGAGAAAAGATGCGAAAATACCTGTAGATATTAAAAAACATAATTTCAGAAATGTGATTTTTTTGTCATTTTTTTGTTTCAAGGAGCGGTGTCCCCCCTTAAGCGATGGAGATGCATTTCCACGGCTTCCAGCCGATCCAAGCTGATCCGCTAGAAGAACCACTGGCTTTGCATTTCACCGACCATAAAGCAGTAATAATGAAGTCTAAACGCAACCCAGAACTCAGCACGACCTACGAGCAATAAAAAAAAAATTGACACCATCAGCACTACCTATGAACAATAAAATCAGTATCATCAGCACCACCAGAGCGTCGCCCCAATCAACATCATTCGCCACGTGGAGATGCGGTCATTTTTTTCTTGCACTATTTAGATGCACAGCTACGTGCTAAAACAAATTTTTATATCTTTGAGTGGTGTTGAGAATACAAACTCATCTTTCTGAAAAGGTTTATTTCCAAAAACGATCTATTTCAAACCAGAACCAAGTCTTTAGCTGTCATCATCACCACCACGGGGGTGTCACGTGAAAATATTGCATCCCTGATTGGCTGCAGCCGCTTCACACGTCTTCGAATTGCTCCGAGTGGCTCGCTCCCAGGTAGCACGCCAGAGGAATGCCCAACTTGGGCAAAGGTCTGGCAAACATAAGGGCCCAACTTTGGCGCAGTTAGGTTTTTGCACCATGGCACTCATCAGTGCCAAAGTACGGTGCCTAACTATAGCCTAAGTTGGGCGATCCTAGGGCATGCCAAAGTTTGGCTCTTCTCTGGTACGCCAGAGGAGTGCCAAAGTTGGTGCCATACTTGAGCCATAACTGCCATAGTAAATCCTAATCTGGGAATGCGAGGCATGCCAAGGTTTGGCGTTTCTCTGGTCCGCCAGAGGAGCGCCAAAGTTGGTGCCATACCTCAGCCATAACTGCCAGAGCAACGCCTAATTTCGGTATTTGGGACGTGCTAAGGTTTGGCGTTTCTCTGGT